TATATGGTCGTGCGCAGTAGGGAAGGGAGTGAACTTACACCGACAACACCGTTCTTCTTGATACCAATCCAGCACAGGATCGCCTCAAGAGTCGCACTAGTCGACGCAGCGATGACAGTGGCTACGTAAACAACGTAAAGCGTCCTCACCATGTAATCAACCGCAATCAAACTCGGGTACGCCAACGCAGAGTTTCCACTACCACGGCGCGCAAGACCAACAGCCCAACTAGCAAAGCCAAGAGCAAGGATAGCCAACATCCAGAAGCCGTTCAGAGCCCAAGACAGGACACCAGGCTCCTTGATGCCAGTGCCGTTGTTCTGAACGTGGTTGGCGTGGATCCAGATGGCGCCGACGATGCAGGCGTTCATGATGATCATGGCACCTTGGTAGGTGAAGGAGAGGATGGAGATGATCTTTCCATATCTGATGGAGTCGTTGTTGCCGAAGGGTTCGGTGTATTGGGGGTAGGCGTAGGCGGAGGTGATGTAGAAGGGGGAAGGGAGGCGGGATTGGAGGGCCACGATGGAGGATTGCGCGGCGTAGGCGATCATGAGGGTGGTGAGACCCGTGATGAGGAAGAGTTGTGTGCCAGTGGAACTGTTGTTTGTTAGTTGACTTGGCATTGGAAAGAAGGGGCATGGATTGGTGTACCTGTGCCTGTTCAGAGTTGACCTGTTAAACTTCTTGAATGTACGGGGACGTCCAGGGCCGCCGACGAGTTGACGACCGAACAACGCAAGAGCGGCCAGAATGAGGATGATCGAGCCGCCTGCTGTAACGACATGGAGGGCGAAAATTGCCTGGACGGTGGATGTGGTGTTGGTAATGGCCATTGTGCGTGTTCGGTGGGCGTGCAGGACAGCACCCTTGTGAATTAAGTGATGAAATTGATTACTATACTGATGATAATCTACCAACGTGCAAACTTGAGGGTCTTTATCATATCAACCAAACCTATGCGGTCATACCTCACGAGCCCAGACCATGACGATGCCTTGCGACGAACTGCTGTCAAACTTTACCAACGTTGACGCGCATCGAGACCAACAGCTCCCTGGCCTGGAATTAGCTATGTGACTAACTGTGGCCTCCGCGAAGATCGAGCAATGAAAGGGTTCGGTGCGAGTCGCGACGTTGAAATGAGCTTGGGTGAATGACGTTTAGCGGCGCGCGGAGAGTAACGGAATGACGTCGCGCGTCGCTAGCAGAAGCAACATGGCCGTCGCAGCCGGTTGCTTTTTCGTTTTGCGTGAACGGTTATTTGAGATATTTGGCTTGGACCGCCGAAGATCGTCGCAGTCATGGTAGTGCCATCGTGGAGGTGTGAGCGCGGGAGATGTGTTCGCTGGCGCGGTGATCTGCCCAGGGGTGTTCTTGTTTGTGGGCTCGACGGTGACGCGCTAACGGTCGGGAACATGATGTGCCATTGCCAAGTGGGCTATGCAGCAGGATTTTTCGAGACTTTCAAGAACACGACGATGATAATGAAAGTGGTCGCGCATCGAACGCACGAGGATCGAACCGAGGTCAGGAAGGAAGTCACTCAGGATGGATCACGGACTGGATGATGGCTCTTCATCTCGCAGTCCATCAATCGCTTTTCCCAACCCCCACAACCCTCCCACTGCCTCGGAGTCCCAGCTCTTCAGGCGTCATGAACCTCCGCACGGCCTCAATGTCGTTTCCGCCCCAAGCACCCTTCCCACTGCTGCGCTTTCCGTGTTGTGCTGTTTCATACTCATCTTTGTGCCATCCACACCCAAATATGCAAAACATGCACACGACAACAAACAGCGCCATGACTGCGAGAATGAAGATGAACAGAGACCAGATTCCGGAACTAAGCCAGGTTACAAAGGACGCAGAAGCCGAGTTGACAACATGAGTCGCTGTACCCTTCTTGCCATTGTCGTCCCAATCATGGAACCACATCGCCGTTTTTTGTATGCGCTTGCCGTTTATGCTTGACTGTGAGCGCGGGATGGGTGCCGCGCGGATAATCTCGTATGCGCTTGCTGGGTCACCGGCAGACAACAGGGGACGCTGCAGAAGGACGAGTTCCAGGATCTTCTGTTCTTTTCTGTCCATGACGATTGTGAGATCCGGAGAAGTCAGATCAGTCCACAATTGCATGATATCGAAATGAAACACCAATGCATTGGAGTCTTTGACGTGGCGCAGGGAGTAGGCGTATGACGCGCCAAAGTAAGCGCCCCCAAGGTTGTCGAGTTGATCAGATGCGACGAGCTTGTCGAGATCATCTTTCGATATGTCCAACAAGACTTGGTTAACGTATACTTTCGGTAGAATCTTGGAGTCTCCTAAAAGTGGGGCATTGTTGATGCTTAGATGCGCTGAGTCGTAGGGAAGGGAAACGTTCAGAAGCTGGGGCACGTGAGCGCGTGATCTGGTCTCCTTGAGAGTAGGGATGGTTTACCAGAGCGTTGTCGTCTTTTCTCTGAGCCCATGGCGCATCGTTGCCTTTTGATGTGTCTTGGTATAGGAAAGGGCACCCGACACATGGGATCTTGGCAATCACGTTGTAGCCCTCCGCAACTGTCGTAATTTCCGGTGCGGCTTCAGCAGCTCCGCATCGCGCAAACGCGAAAATCGCAGCGAGAGGCACTATCCGGAATATCATGATGAGAGGTACGATGATGAATTGTAGTAGGGTCACCCGTGTTGACACGTTTGAGGTTATGTGGCTGGGTCTGTATGTAAGCTGGGGCGGGTGGGGCGGCTTCCATGGGTCATGTGAAGTCGCGAGCTAGCGTGTTTGGAATACGAGATGCAGCACTCACATCGCTCCCAGTCTTCACAGAAGTAAGACGCTGTTTGCCAATCGAATTTGCAGCAGCATCGGGATATGAGGTTCTGTGTGAGACATGATTTTAAAGAACCAATGTACAGCACAACTCGTTTATTGTGCATCAGAGGTACCTAGGTATTTATTCACATCATGTATAGCCCGAAATCAACCATGTATACGCTCAGCCCAATAACGACCCAATCGCGCTACGCCTCGCACCTATTTCCTCGACGCCCAGTTTTATCGGTTTTGGACGTTTTGTTGAATCTTATCCAGTTTCCTGGCAATCAACGCCATTCTCTCTCATCAACAACCCCATGATTTCGTTGTCATCGTGACCGTCGTAAATACCATACTGCGCTCCTTCAAGAACTTTACTAGGCGCCTCCAGATAATCTTCTGCCGCCTCGTCTGCTGTATCGATGAACTCAGCTTCAATCCTCTTCGACAAAGCGTCTCGGATCGTCTTACACGCGGAAAGAGCTTCCTTTGCTTCTTTGTCTTCCAGATGTTCCTCGATATCGGCGAGCTTCTTGAGGATTTGGGCGCGGTCTGTGGTCGGAATTTGTAGCCCAAGTCTAGGATCCAGCGTCAAGTGACTGGCAACCGCTAGAGCGCCAATCTCGATGATCTGTCTGCTTCGTGCAAGTTCATCAGGTCGTGTCATATGCCGAATGACCGGGTTGTCCGAGCCAACTGCAACATCTGTCATGCCGGCACTGTTGTGACAAGTGCCATGTTCCAGATCCCGGCGATCTCTCATCTCGTTCAGCGGCGTACCGATAGGAGTAGAGAACATGTCGGCGACGAATGTATCGTTGTACGTATAGTACGGTATGCTTGTTGGATTGAGTGGCCTTCCTCTCGGTGCCGGACCTTGACTCACACTCCTTCCATGTTGGAAGAGCGCGGCATGCCTTCTCTTGTGTTCTGGTGTGGCTGATCTCGCACGCGGTGCTTGGAGCCGAACGAAAGTGGGATTGGTGATGCTGTTGGCTGCGGCAATGCGATCTGTATCGCCAGTGCTCAAGGATCGACGACGACCGTAGCCTTGCGATGGCTGTCCTGAGTGGAGGTAGGCATGGTTTGTTTGAGATCGCATAGGCCGAGGACGATCGTCGTGGTTTGGATCATCAGTTGTTGTTGGGAAGGCTCGTTGCAGATCTAGCGGGTAGGGATGGGGTGTACTTGGTCCGGGAGTCGGGTATGCCGCGGCGGTTTGGCCGAAATCGTAATTTGAGAAGTCGGGAGTCGAAGTTGTGGAGGTGTTTGGTGAGTCAACAGCTGCAAAAGCGCCGTCTCCATATGTAAGACCGAAGTCATCGAGTATATCGCTGTTGTTCGTCGAGAAGATAGGTTGCCCTGAGTCATCTGATCCGAATAGTTCGTTGAAGTCGGCTTGAGAGAGCTGTTGCTCCTCGTTCATGGATGGAAGGAACAGATCGGCGGCTGCGTGACTGAGTGGCGTGTTTGGCTGAGACATCCTGTAGGTTCCCAGTAGGATTGCAGTAATGAGTAAAGCGCGTACTGTTACCGAGATCTGTGGCTCTGTCGATACGGGAAGGATGTTACACAGGAAATGGGAGGCTGCGTAAACGATGTCTAGATATAATTACTGTTTGGTCCTTCTGTTGGCCTGAGCTGAAACAGGTAGACGCGGTGAGTTTGGTGAGCATAGATGGTGGCGCTGGAGTAGGCCAATGGCCGGATGCCTACGTTGAGTACGTGGTCGATAGGCAAACATCGCTCCTGTGCATACAGTTAGTGCTCAGGCTCGTTTCGCGTAATCCTTGGCTATCTTGTCATAAGAGGACTATTTGCTGTGATGGGAAGTATAGAATTAGTTGCGACATGCTCGAGACATTTGTTAGAAGTTGATTTCGCCAGTCAGCTGCACTGCGCGTCCATTGTCTCGCAACAGTGTTGCAAATCCGAAGCGCGTCTGAAGGCTCTGTATGAGAGACAATTCACTGCTTGTCTTTTTTGACTTGAGACACTTTGTTGTCAAAGATACAGGTCTTCTGTATTCGTTAAGACATCTAGGTCATCAGCTCATGAACGTGTTCCTGCTACTGGCCCGCCCCGGAGATCCTAACGTAGGGCAAAATGGATGGCAGTCCTTCCCGAAGGCGATATCGTACATCCGTGTTATACAAGAGAATGCGGCTCTGCAGACCCAAAGACGTGTTCATTCCTTCTTGCTCTCACCGTCCTTTCCCTTCTTCTTGTCCCAATTCCAAACGTCCCAAATCTGCTCAAAGATCATATCGCCATAACTCTTGCCTTCTTCGATCGCCTTCCTTTCTTCCTCCAATCGCCGCTCCTTCCAACCCTCCTCCTCATCACCCATCCACAGCTTCCCAAGTATACTCTTTTCTTGCCCTTCCTTCCGCTCCAGTGTCCTCCGACTCTTTTCCCTTTCCTCTTGCAATATCTTTTGCATCTCCTTTGCGCGTTCGGTCGGTAGGTCCATGGTTCGCATTGGACTGAGGTTTTGTACGAGGCCACGACCTGTTCGTAGTGTGATGAGATGATCGGCGGAGAGGTAGAAGCCGACGCCTAGGGAAAATGTGTAGAGGTCTAGTTTTCGTGGTGGGAGTATGGCTATTATTGGACATATGACGAGGCCGCCGATGGCTAGGTTACGTGTTATGCGCTGGTATCGGGCTTGTTGTTCGAGAGCGAGGCGCTCTTCTGGTGGGATGGGCATATTTTGGACGGGGTTCGGTGTCGCCATCCTGGAGAACGTGGTTGCGCAGTCGATGCTGGAAATACAGTGGGTGTCGGAGTAGATTGATCGTGCGTGTAGGAGTTCGAGCAGACAGAGTGAAGGGGTGATGTCAGAGTAGTTCGGTGGTCGCAATGTCAAAAAGTTCAATGATGCAAAGACGGCGGCTAGCTCCCGCCTCGGCTGCAGCTTCCCCTTCGGAGCGGAGGTGCTGCGGAGATCTGAAGCCACGCGAACAGTTCAATGCACAGGGTGGCTCGATTTGGAATGCTCATAATTCAGATGCGCCTATTGATATGCTGTTCTCGACTTCCCATGCCCGTTACGCCGTTGTCCCTATTCTGCCCCGATCATGCATAATGGACCTCATAAACACGCGCAAATCTCTCGCTGATTATCGTTGGAACTTCCTCCTCTTCACGTCGACTCTGTCTTCAAAGCGTGGACTCTGCCTCTCTGGCCTGTCCTCTGTCCTGTTTCCTAGATGTTCAAAGGTTCCACTACTCCTCAGCCGTTTCGTTGGGGTTCTCTCGTACTCGCTCCCACTTTGTCCACCTCTTTGCCCTTCGTCTTCTGTCCCAGCCGGCCCATCTGATCTGGGTCCATCCTCGTATGCATCGAATTTTCGCTTCTGCGCAGTGCTCGGCGTCTGCATCAGGCGTCGCAAACGGCTCTCTTGTAATCGCCTATTCACTTCCTCGGTGACATCGACATGTTGAACAACGTAGTCGTCTTCGATTCTAGCTCGCTTTGCGCGTGGTGTGGGCGATTGATCCACGAGAGGAGATATGGCATGCGAGTTGGAGTTTGGGGGTTGCGCAGTTGGTGTAGTAGAGGCATGTTTCCCGCCCTCGATACTAAGACGTTTGTTTGAAGTCTTGACCTGTCGCTTGTCAGCTTTTTGGCATCGCGTGCGCAAATGGCACAGCATACCTTCTTCTTTTCCGCCAGACCTTCGTCCTCGAGCTGGTCCCTAAATCTCTTCATGTCGTCCTGTAGCCTGCCCGACTTGTTTCGCAGCGAGATCAAGTCCGTAGCTAGCCAGTCGGGGGCATTGTGATCCGTCGCATCGAGCGTCTCATTGAGAAACAGGAGCTGCGCGCGTAGGTTCTCGATGTGTTTGTCAAAGTCCTGAAGAATAGATGAGAAATGCGATGGATCAGGCAATTGTGCGAATTACCTCGAGCGAAAACTTCGCCATGTTGTATGGCAGAATTGTGGACGGACAAGGGAAACCGCATGCAGGAGGCTTGAACTTCCTTGCGGAGTCCCGAGCGCTTGGGTTGACATCCTCGTTCCGATCGGAACGTTCCGACCTTGGCAGCATCTTGAGATCTTGCCTCTTAACCACGAAGGACCACTGCGATAGGTCAGACATGACAAGGTGCATAGCTTAGTCAAAGGGAGATCGAGATCGTGCAGGTGGGAAGTAATGGTATACCGTCACGGTCAAAATTGACTTGTACTAATCTCAATATATTGTCCCATGTGCTCACTAGAATCTTGAAAGGGAGGACCTTGAAGCTCATAGCCCTCGTATGCGACACTCCGTGCTCTAAAGTCAGCTTGATGCTAGAGTACACACGACTCAGCTTGAGCTTCCCCTTCCCTTTTGCGCCATATGCATCGCGTCGCTGATGCTGTCCATTGCGAACCAGCCTGCATGACCACGCGAGGACCTCGGGAAGTTGCAGATGAATGAAAGCGATCACTGCCCTCGAGGAACCGGCAAGTCCGGTGGTCTCGCACAGCCTGAGTTGACGTTGGTGGCAAGTAGAGAGGACCACGACAGCTTTGTGACTCGATGCATCGTCCTTAACAAGCGGGTAATGTCTGATGGCTGAGATGCGACCGTCTTCAGCCTTCATCTTCGCCAAAAGTGAGCTTGACAGCTTTGGCCTTCTTCGGTTTCTTTGCAGACTTCGCGTCTGGCTTCTTCACATCCGCCTCTTCCCCCTTTTTGCTCTCGTCCTGGTCATCCCCGATGATCTTTGCCGCCTTGCGCTTCTTTGAGACTGCACCAACCTCAGCAATCTTATCTTTGGATTGCGACGTCGCATCACCATCTTTCTTCTTTCCAGCCTCATCTGCAGCCGGCTCCCCTCCCTCTTTGTCGTCTTTGCCTGACACAAGCGCATCATACTCCTCTTTACTCAGCGACTGATTCGTCTCTTCCATGACATACGTAGGGGCATCATCTTCGTCGTCGTCTTTCTTCATCCTCTTATTCCGCGCGATTGGATGTTCATGACGGGCTGTGTCTCCACTGGTGAGTTGCCCGCGCAGCCGCTGTAAGAAGGCTGGCTGTGAGCTGTCTGTGGCGAGTTAGCGAACGATACGATCGTGTTACATATGTATTTACCGAAATGGAGGTCTTTTGCTTTGAAGCTCATGGTGGTTGTAGTGCAAGGGATGTCCTGACACGGCATGCACGTAAGGGTCTAGATTAGTCGTTTGGCTGAATGTCGTGTCGATCGCTTAGCGGCGGGTTTCCGTGCGGCTCCTTCGCCGCCTTAGCTGCGGATAGTTTACGATGCACTTGCAGTCTACTCTTGGTTTCAGAGAGCATTCACTCCATCGGGATGTCTAGTCGGGTGCCTAGATATGGCGGGTGAAAGCCCATCCCGAAACGTATTGGTCCGCTGCACCTGCTATCGGCATGCGTGCTAAAGGGCTTGGCGCGTTCCGCCGACAGGGAACATGTCAACTAGCAGATCTCGAAACGCATACGCAATCATCGGCCGCTAATAATTTACATTCAACGACCCTGTTCTCTCCTTTCACTCCCTCAGGGTTACAAGCTTGAGCCCGTCACGCCAATCGCCGACCCATCTCCGCCCTCGTACACCCACCTGGAGTCACGACCCACACGCTCGTTATCGACCAAGCTCCTTGGGTTGAACACGTCGCCCTTTCCTCACCCACAACCGTCGCATTCATTCGACGTCCTCTAGACCCCTCGAATTCGCTCCGCACCGCTTGCGACTGGGCCAAAGAGCAATAGGGCTGCCATTGGCAGGAAATCGCATACCAGACACGCCACCACTCGGGCACCACCATGGGCTTCCTGCAAGATATGACGAAGAGGCTACCGACCTCAAAGGACAGTCTAGACAAGCTGGACGACCTACCGCGCCGCGCCGAAAAGAACTCGCCACGGTTGTCCTTCTTTCGACGCAGGATACGGCTGAAGGGGAGTTCATCCGTGTCGATACCTCTGGGCCTGGTGCTGCTGTTTCCATGTCTCGTTATAATAATAATCATAATTCTGTTCGTAAAGTCTCCCGACTCGCAGGGCATTATGAACATGCCCGCCGGCGGCCCTCCCTCAATAAGGTACGTGAAATCCCATCACCACAGCATCCAAACAACATCCAACAATGCGCAGACGGATAAGCGAGAAGTACGATAAGCCATTTGCGGTAGGCTGCCTCGAGCCGCAGGTCAACGGACCCCGAGCAAACGCTGCATTCGTAGTCCTAGCGAGAAACAAGGAGTTGGATGGTGTCATACAGTCGGTCAAGTCGATTGAGAGACATTTCAATCGGTGGTTCCACTACCCATACGTCTTCCTCAACGACGGAGACTTCAACGAGACGTTCAGGGAGACGGTCTTGGCCCATGTCAGTGCTCCAGTGGAGTGGGGTAAGATCCCTCCCGAGCAATGGGGCTTCCCCGACTGGGTAGATCCCGATGTCGCGAAGGAAGGAATCGCCAAGCAGGGTGACAGGGCCATCATGTACGGTGGTATGGAGAGCTACCATCACATGTGCAGGTTCTACTCGGGGTATGTAACCTAGCATGCTTTCTTCTGATTGCCACTAACACGGACAGTAAATTCTACCAACACGAACTCCTCGCCAAATACGACTGGTACTGGCGCCTCGAGCCTGAGATCAAGTACTTCTGCGACATCACATACGATCCCTTTATCCACATGATCCGGAACAAGAAGACATATGGCTTCACCATCGCGGTGAAGGAGCTACGAGAAACCGTCCCCAACATCTGGCGATATGCCTCGGCCTACAAGCGTAACAACAACCTGACCTCCAAGGGCATGTGGGAGATGTTCGTGGAGAAGCCGAAAGAGGAGGACGAGAAGGCGCCAAAGACAGAGCCCAAGTCGAAGAAGAACTTCTTTCCCCAGGATATAATGGATGCCGAGTTCGGCACAGAGGCCATGCCTGAGATCCACCCAGAGAACATGGAGGGCGAATCATACAACATGTGCCATTTCTGGAGCAATTTCGAAATCGCCAATCTGAACTGGTTCCGCAGCAAAGAGTACAATGACTTTTTCGAGTTGATGGATCGTAGTGGCGGCTTCTGGATGGAGAGATGGGGAGATGCGCCCATCCACTCGCTCGCTGTTGGTGCGCTACTTGGCCCTGAGGATATCCACTACTTCCGCGACTTTGGATACCGGCATACGACCATCCAACATTGTCCCGCCAACGCACCTGCGCGACAACTCGCCCGAGAGCCATATCTTGAGAAAACGACTCTCGACGAGAAGGAGCGACTGGAAGAAGATAAGTACTGGGCGTCCTATGACCCAGTCAAGGAGAACGGTGTCGGCTGTCGCTGCAAATGCGACCAGGATATTGTCGACGTAGAGGGCAAAGAAGGGTCCTGCCTCACGGAATGGGTAGAAGTGGCTGGTGGCTGGGCATCACCTGGGCCTGACGGACCATGATCTCTCCTTCTCGCGTGATATTCTATCAGCTTCAGGCTAGCATTTTGCGGGAACATTAGCATCTACTCCTCTTTCCAGTAAGGCGTCAGGTGTTGGCATTGCATACGGGCTGGGCCGCCCTTCAATAGAGCATCAGGACTACGCGGGCGTCGTTGCAGGCTTACTTACTTTCTGCGCATTGGCGACACAGTGTATGAGAACGAATACGAACAAGTTGAAAACAGCTCTGCTCTTGAATGATCCCCTCGTTGTTTGGTCATGGGATTGCTTGCTTTAGATGACGGCCCCACCCCATGCAAGGGCAAGGTTGAACATCAACCTCTTGAAAGCATGATAAAAGTAGATGGACCGGGAATCTGCATCGCCTCAGCATCTTACTAAATCTTATTGTTGTGCTGATGTAGCTTGCAGCGCGCCTGTTCAGTTCCATTGAATGAGGTGGCCTGCTTTGGCCATGTGAACCATGTTCCGTATCTTATCGCTTACTATGAGACTATGAGGGGTTACCCCCATACGCATCCCACCTAAGCTCGACCGTCCATCAGCACCTTGTCGTCACCACAACTCGCAGCAGTTTGAACAGTCGCTCGTCTCTCGCATTCACTGACAGCATTTCGGTAGTCCTGCGCTTCACTTATCAGGCTATCAGTGTGCAATCTGGTATGTGCTGTCACCTGCTCCCGCTGGTCCCCACTTCCTCCCGAAGGCCCCCATACGCGCCTCGCCCGCAGCTAGTTAGGCAGCGTCCACCTGGTGCCCACCACAACCTCACCTTGACCGTTCCCCCCTCTCTCCTTCCACCACACTCGGATCGCTTTGAGCTTCTGATCACACTGGATTCCGCATGAAAACAGGCTGACATGTCTTCCAGCGAGCCTAACTCCTCCCAGGATCTCAAGTTCCCCCCTGTGCAGGTGGCCCACTCGCTCACTAAGCTTGATCTTGAAACGCTCATGATGAGGTCGACTCAGCGCCGAGCCCCAGAAGAGGCGGGCAGCTCTCTCGACGACAGCAGTTATGACTTGCTCGGCGACGGCGTCATGGACATGTCCGACGACGAAGCCCACACCGAGTCGATCGCGTCCACCGACGGTCCCACGCCCGATGACACGTCTGACGATTTCAGTGATGACGACGTCGAATACGAAGCTGGCGAGCACCACTTACAAGATAGCACATACTCTTCGCACGGCGAATCCCAAGAGCAGCAAACCCACGTACACCCTATTCTATCTGGGGAAGACTCCTCTTTGACAGAGGTTCCGCCATACCTGAGTGGGAGCATGAGCTCAAGGCATTTCGTACTCCAAGAGCAGGATACGGGCAGTTCTGATGTAAGCCATGGAAGCAGCGTCATCAAGAGCTCGGCAGGTTATACGGACGAGCTGCCACCGGTGTTCGACCGTTATGGCTGCAAAGAGATCAGGTTGTCGGTCAAGGCAGCCTTGTCCAAGGACCCTCTCGCCACCCCAGACGCATACCGAATACTGTATATTGGTAGTGGAAAGTGGGCAGAGGGCACCATCACCTCTAAGATCTGCGCAGCACTCGCTGCCTACCCTAGCGCCTCGAAGTCGGTCATGGTCCGCGGCCACATCGAGCCCTATGCCCCCGTCCCGCACGCTGATCGTTGTGCCAAAATGGAGATTCATAAGTCGCGCGAGAAGAGGCACGTTCTCGCCATCATGGAAGATGGACGACAGCTCATGTTCGGCTCCGGCCTGTCTACTCACTCTTCAGATCGACCAGACCTTGTGGTCCTCTGTCACCCAAGCGTCCTTGATAGCACTGCTGACAAGCAAGATCTTGCATCTGCCAAGGAAGTATTCGAACGCGAGACAATCCCATGCATCGAACTTGCTGAGACCAATCCTTTCGGAGCTGGATCTTCCGTTGATGAGAACACTACAACGTTACGGGTATGCGTAGAAGGGCGAGACAACCCGAACACTGATTACGAGCTGAAGGAGGTACTGCCCCTCGATATCCACCAGTTCGACCAACTCGAGCCATCGCAGCTTAATCGCCATCTCGCACTCATTAGTCCTCATCTAGCGAAGGCACGGGGCACGAAGGCTGCCTCGACAGCCCGCAAATCGTGGTTTAGTGACAAGACCAAGACGTCTACGAAGAAGATGGGCTCACCATGGCCAACTGCAAAGTTGCTAGCATCTGCTTTCGTTCTCTTCGCCCTCATCCCCGCGCTTCTCATGGGTGCGGCTTATACCCCTATGCTGTACCAAAAGGTGTCCCAAGGGCGGTCAGTGTCACCAGCCGTTTCAGAGATTCAAAGCAACACCACAACGATCACGCCCGCAGCTTCAGTGTCTCCAAGTGCGGCTCGCTACCCGGATTCATGTCGCTCGAGCCTTGTACACGAAGCTCGAGGCCTCACTGTCGTACCGTCCCAGCCAAAGCAGGCTACCCAGAAGCCAAAGGCGAAGAACAGTCAGGCTGGAGGTTTCGAAATCCAGATCACCGGAGACCATCAGTTTGTACTCCGTCCTTCTAAATCCTTCAATTCGAACCGGAAGAAACCCCAACTTCAGGTTCAAGTTTCTCGCCACTCTCAAGAGGTTCCAGCACATTACAACCGGACCACCACTGGCGAGTACATTGTCGACCTGGATCAGCAGTATCGATTCGATAAATTCAATGTCAGCATTGCCACACATTCAAAGCCTCTCTTGCGGCAATCTTTCGAGGTGATGCTCGGACACAACAAGTCGACGCTAGATCAACTTCTCGACACCGCCATGTCAAACATATTGGATACACAAAACACCCTTCGCAACGTCTCCGCTGTAGCTGCACAGCACCTGCAAGAATACATGGCCGGGTTTGATCTCTACGCTTCCAAGCAACTTCAGGAAACTAAGCATCAACTGGAGATGAAGGCTCAGCGGGCAAGACAGATACCGGATGCTACATGGATGGGGTTGCGAAAGGTGACCGCACCGGTGCGGACATCGTCAGCGATGCAAAGGGCCAGGATGAATGCTCTTCGCGTGAGGTGCAAGATGGAGACGGCGGCGGGACTGTCTGCAAAGGAAGGCGGTGAGGGGCAGAGTTGGGCATGTGCAAAGGTGGGAGGGGCGGTCTAGGGAACATGGGAAGGCGGCACGCAGTGGAGGATCTCATGTGACTTTCTGCACTGTCTTGTTTTGATTATGCGGCGTATACGGACAGGAGGGCAGACACAAGGGTGCAGTGATATACCCCTGGGACCTGGTGTGGACAGTAGGACAACTTGGGAGTTATAGGACTTGTCAAATTCATCTCATACCACGATGCATCTACAGCAGCTTGTAGATGCGCACATGCCCTTGGCTCTGTACTGACGTAGTTACACGTTGACTCATCATCTAGGGCAGACTGGTAGGGTGCACGTTGCGTCAGGTGTGAGCAGGCGCGTTGGGCACGTCCCCTGAGCCGAACCGGGTAAAGCGCGTTCTGGAGGGGCATCCCACTTCCCAATTTACAGGCAGTTGTTGACACAAGAACCCACAAACACACCACATCTCCCCCACAAACGCGGCTTTCTTCTTATCACACACAGACCCGAATACTCCGCATTCATAGAAGAAGATGTCTGAAGCAGCCAAGCCCGACCCCGCCGCCGAGCAGATCGCCAACCCTGCGGCGACTCTTGTCCAGGACGAGACCGCAAAGGTCACTACCGACAAGGCATCTGACAAGCCCGAGACCACCACAGAGAGCAAGGATGACAAGCCCATCACAGAGAAGGCGACAGAGGCAGCGGCCGCAGTGAAGGACAACGTCTTTTCCATGTTCGGTGGCGGCCCCGCAAAGGTCAAGAAGGAGGAGGCCGACGATGTCGACGAGCCATCAGGTGCTTCCAAGCCCAAGGGCGAGGTGCGTATGTGCTACGGTGCTTTCTAGGATGTACTGACAAGGCGACAGGACGAGGACCCCGAGAACGAAGAGCCCGATGTCGACTTCCAGCCCGTCGTCCACCTCACCGAGAAGGTCGACACCAAGACCAACGAGGAGCTCGAGGAGCAAGTATTCAAGATGCGCGCCAAGCTGTTCAAGTTCGACAGGGAATCGCGGGAGTGGAAGGAGCGCGGCACTGGTGACGTCCGGTTACTGAAGCACAAGGAGAATGGCAAGACCCGTCTCGTCATGCGCCGTGACAAGACCCTCAAGGTCTGCGCCAACCACTACGGTATGATACATGGAAGGCGGATATGAACGCGGATACTGAGAAGTGCATAGTTGTTCCCGACATGAAGCTGTCGCCCAACGTCGGCAGCGACCGCAGCTGGGTCTGGAACGCCGCCGCCGATGTCAGCGAGGGCGAGCCCGAGGCTCAGACCCTGGCCATCCGGTTCGCCAACAGCGAGAGTGAGTCCAAGCAGATGCACGAAACCGCGCAGCGGAGCACTAACTATATTTGTCAGATGCCAACCAGTTCAAGGAGGCCTTCATCAAGGCCCAGCAAGAGAACGAGGCGCTTTTCGGCAAGTCGGAGCAGTAAATGCTGCCGGATAATAACAGCTTGGAGGATGGGATGAGACACGAAAAGATGGATTGCACGAACAGTGAATGAGGAATTGGGACGGCATGATAAGATGGTGGTAGAAGAGATTACCCACACCCTGCACATAACTAGATAGTAACTAAATGGCCCGACTACTGTAGTCAACGGCGTCCCCCCATGCAAGACCTGATGGCACGAAATGCGTCGACTTGGTAGTGATGGCTTTACTTTTAAGAAATGGCGAAATTGACCCTGCATAGCGTGCAGTCTCACCTGCAATGCAAACGTGTGCCGATGCCGTATCACGTCTCTCACCTGGCAGAGGGCTAGTCCCCTGTCAGGCAGGCTTCCGTGCTCGTGCAGCTTTTCTTACAGCTTGATGGTTTGCGCCAAGCCAGCGCAACTAGTCTCCGTCTCCGCCGCCCCGCGACCATCTCTCAGTTAACTCGCCAAATCAGAGCTCGCGACCCGAGACCAGCCACGCCTTTACTACACGCGCCCCGGCTTTGTCGCAAGAGACCGACACGCCAGACCGCGCCCGACGTGAACCGCCTCTACACACCTCGCGTATATATTCTCCAGGCAGGCCGGAACCAATCACGCTCGCAGCAGCCCGTCTACGCAGTCCTCGCGGCGCAAATCAGACAAGATGCCTGACGTAAGTTGCGGCCTGGAGATGCCCTCAAAACCATCGCGCAAATGCTAACAACCGCGCAGGTCAAGCGATGGGTCAAGCTCATCACTCACCAGAAGCCCATGTACGTACAATCCGCGCGCAATCGCATGCGCCTGCCCATCTCACGCGTCTACACGTCGCCAGCCGCTAATACACATTCACAGCGCGGAGCCTTCGCCCGTTGAGGGATATCCCATGCGATCATGGAGCATAGAGGTCTGGCTGCTGGATGATCAGGGCAACGAGGTCATGCCCAGCGTCTTCGAGAAGGCCGTCTACAACCTGCATCCTTCGTTCGAGAAGAACAAGCACAGTAAGTGCGCCCGACACTGCGCTCAGCAGTATGCCGTCAGCAAGCATCCCCACTAACATGCCAAAAGTCATCAAGAAGCCGCCGTTCCGCATCGATGAGAAGGGTTGGGGTGAGTTCGACATGAGCATTGTCTTGTCCGCTGTTGGCAAGGGCGGTGATCACACCCTCGAGCACGACCTCAACTTCCAGTCGGAGCGTTATGAGGCCAAGCACCAAGTTGTAAGTACCACATACGCGTGCTGTTCATCAGCCAGAACACTGCTAACCCGCCATTGCAGACTTTCCGCAACCCCAAGCCTGAGCTCCTCGCCCTCCTCGCCGAGTCTGGTCCCGCCGAGGCCAACGGCATGCGCAACAAGGACGCCGCCAAGAAGAAGGGCCGGAGAGACAAGAACGTAGACATGGAGAAGCTGGCCGATGGACTGCAGAAGCTGGGTGAGGATGACCTGCTGCACGTCGTCACCTTGGTCCACGACAACAAGACCAGCGAGACGTACACTAAGAATGACGTCGAGAGTGGGTTTCCATCATCTCGCATTGCAAGGCACGTGCTAACAAATCATAGATGGCGAGTTCCACGTCGACCTCTACACCCTACCCGATTCCCTCGTCAAGATGCTCTGGGACTTCACGTCCTCGAAAGTCGATTTATAGGTTGTTTCGCGATCAGAGGTTCTATCTTGCGTCGATTCTCGACCCTGAGTGACCAACACAACACGATTTCTCGTTCGCACGTCCACGATCCTTCCCAGCATCCTCATGCTCGAGAAACGTAGCAGCATCACGCTCGCTTGCTTCATACTCATAGCGGAGGGATCGTGTGGTTCATGTCTCGAGTGGCCGGACACAACGTCGAACGAATATATCACTCACCCCATGTTTCTGTTCCTGTTTTCTCGTTCTTCATGAGCCTCGGAGTTTTACAAAGGGCAAAAGCTGGGTGGCTATGCATACATGGCAACTTCTTTTGATATTGATTGGCGCTGGGAGGGTTACAGGCTTATTATAGGTGGATATGCATGGGCGAGAAATGAGATTACTTAATTCTTGGCTCGTCTTTGCGTGGACGGATTTTCGAGGTGATGGCTGTGTTGTGATCTTTATCGCGTTCTCGACGCTTAAAAAGAGTGCGAGCAGAAGCTACTGACTACTTGCTACATGTTTCACGACTTCAGTACATACGTGTAGGCTGACTTCCCCCATGCCGACCACGATTGCTGAACAAGAACACAGTACTCTCCATCGCTATAGGGGTACTGGATATCTGGCATAGACTCAGAACCCGGCCGATCGGTCCTCATCGACGCGGCACTTTCCCAAGCTTCTACTGACTCATTCCAGAGCCAATACTAACACATCGTATAGCATGAACCTAAGCTCGCAATCCTCAGATTGACGGAATGTCGGACTGCGGGGTGGTGGTTGCCATGGGACTGCTCAACGGAGCACAGGAGAGAAAATGCGTGATGATGATGATGATGATCATCATCATCACCATCAAGATCAGCAGCGACAAGCTCAAGGCACGTTTGTAAGATAGAGAGAGAGGTACGCCATCCGCCGGACATTCCAACGCCGTTCATCGTTTTCCAGAAATCCTCACTCTCACTCCATCTAATAATACACGGAGATTTTTTAGTAAATGAGAATAGGAGTGAGATATTGTGGTGTTAAGAAGAAAAGGAGCAATCTCAGGCGAAATTCAGGGGCTTTTATATGCCGATTCTTGGTGCTTTTCTCTCACATGTGCGTTGATACTTGAAGGTTTTGGAGCCGCTCTTCTTCTCAAACTCATGCGTAGCGGACGAGTAGTGTTTGGCACAGCAGAGCTTCTCAGACATCCAGCTGATATTTTTGACTTTTTTTGACGGAGCAGGCAAAGAACCATGTTATTTCTTCTTCTCCAGTTTTGAAAGTGGAGTTCGTCCGCGCATCTCAGGAGTCGACAACTGTTTTGGGTGGCCTTGGAAGTCGCGCAAAATGCACATGGCTTTAATGTCGTGAGCTTTTGTTCATCGCTGGATGTCATTACATTTTTGATATTTTGGAAGTATCCCGGAGAAGTCGGAGGGTAGATTATTGACGATGGGTAGAAGGGCCTTTTATATGCCGCTGCGGCTAGCGTTGTGCTCGGTCTTTGGTGTGTTTTGGAGGAAAGAAGAGTCGCATTTAGCCTGGACATGACCATTTCTAGGAAGGAAGAAGGCGGAGACCATTGCAAAGTGAGCAGGCCTTTTAGATACTCGGAGGAGAAGACAGTCATGAGTGTAGGCCTTGATAATTTTCGGTTTCACCACCATGCGACCACAGACCATGAATTTCGGTATTTTAGAAATAGATGTTTTTGAGTGGTGTGAAGAGAAGAAGGTCGGAGAGGAAGTAGAAGATGTCTTTTAGTCCTCGAGCCAGACATCATTGTCGTGGTTGCAGCTTTAAGTCTAAACAAATCCTCGAAGCAAAGTAAGTCGGTATGTCAACGACTTTGGGACATGAGAATTTCGGACTGTGTTTTGAACAAAAGTGCTAATTGTTGGCGTGTCGGAGCACCCAACGCACCAGACATGCCAGTGCTGGTTTGAGGATTTCGGTTTCATAAAAGAGACGCGACGAAGTTTTGGAAAAAAGCCGGAATAGATATAGTAGGAGGGAGAAGAACTCCGGAGAGGCAGGGTGTGTTTTATACCACTCAAGGAGGACAGATCGGAAGGAATGTATGCAGCATCGTACAGGAGACACAGACACCATAATTTTCTGGTATGGAACTTTTGACAAGTCGATTTTGATGATCATATGTTTGGCGTCTCTCGTGAACTCATACGCATGAGCTTGTACCGATTTCAGATCTCTATGCGCATAGTGAACTGTACTTTTAAAGACATTCCCTAGTGTCGCAAAGGCCAGAGAAGCAGACATTGCATGCGCTCGAAGAGTTTTTAGTCAATCAAAAGCCCGAGACGCAGATATAGAGACGTATAAGGGTCGGGTGTTGTTGAACAAGACGAGGCGCGGCAGAGAACCGCCATCAATCATGAGGCTGTCTTTTTTGACTGCGCAGCCATGGAACGGTAGCGGTGAAAGTTCAGATAGTCCAGCAGAAAGACTGATAAGGTTGTATCAATAGCAGATCTTGGCTCGACAAACCATAAAGGAGCAACGTATACCTAGGTATGTTTGAAGATCGGAAGTTCAGAAACACATGATACCCTTGGATTTCTTTTTGGACAGCCAGCACTGGTCATAAAGCGAGCGCCATATTTCTTTTTGGACAGCCAGCACTAGTCATAAGGCGAGTGGTCGTATTTTCAAAAGAACATGATGCGATACTGTACTCGTTTTGAGAAGAAGAGGGAGATATGTTGGTAAGAGAGAGACGACTGAGCAGAGGAAAAGCTGGACAGAAGACTGCCATGCAGTCCTGTGATCTTCTGCTTTTCTGGCTGTACAGCCACAGACTCCTTGCCCCATACGTTTGGATAGTTCGGAGGAAAGATTGGCATTATCGTATCGATGCCAGTCTTCGACTCGAGGAAGGCATAGCGGATCTTGAAGTTGTTTCGAAGATCGGAAGAGCGGAAACACATGGAAACGGAGCTCAACGTTTTTGGACAGCCAGGGCTGGTCATTGAAGCGAAACGTGCTGTTTTTGGAAGACATCGGTATGTTCTTCGCATTCTTTTGTAGGAAGAAGAGGAAGAAATGGTGGTGTATGTAAGAAGCCTGAGCAGAGAGAAAAGCTCGACAGACGACCATCAGGAAGTTGTCTAGAGTGTTTTGTAGTTTTCTGGCTGCGCAACCATAGATTCTCAATGTGTAGATTTGAGGAGTCCAGCGGAAAGACATACACCAAGCAGTGTGTCGTCTTTTGACTCGAGAACAGCATGTTCCGCTGCATCATTGAATTTTGGAAGATTCGGAAGAAGGGAGGACTTTATTCGTTGACCAATAGGTTTTGTTCTCGACAGCCAGCACCAAACATGATCGGATATCGGGTGGTTTTGGACAGAACGA